AGATCATTGTCAAGAACAGACCAAGATCATTCTGCTCCCCGTATGGACCTTATACATGAGGTTGAAAATTATAGTTCACAGCGACAGTCAGCTGGAGAATCAAAAGACAGGTTTTGAAGTGAAATATGATTAGAATTAGAAGGAAAAAACAAGATAATTCTCCATAAGGTAATCTGCTCATGGGATTTAAGTGGTTCTCCATCAGATAGCGGTGGTCAATAGAGGCTGCTTGACCGCGGTTCACAGAATAACATTAATAACATTACGTCTAGTTTTATGCCTCGACTATGGACATGACCATTAGACGACACACTCATACATAAGCCACTCACTGAGCATTACCACCACTAGAGGTAAGCCTGGCCTGTCCAGAGATGTCAATACTCAGATCCACCTATCCTATGACCCACATGGCGATAATCCTGTTGTTAGTTTTACGTTATTAATGTTCTGATGCTATTCATAAAAATCTAGCGGAAAACTACCGTCTAGTAAGAGAAAATCTAGTGGAAAACAAGTGAGAAAAATTGGCAACACTGCGGTGACTACTAGACAATTCCACTGGTGACGGCTAAACACCCACTGCGTACATAATTTTAAGTTTTCTTTTGATAATTTTCATATTTCATGTTAGTGGTGTTTGTAGTGGACATTTGTTCATTAGTTTATATTTAGTGGTCAAATTTTATGTAACTAACCAGGGGCGGATCCAGGAATATCAAAAGGGGAAGGGGGGTCCAAGAAGATATGGGTGGAGGAACATGGCGAGCACAGCGAGGCCTCCCAGCTGTTTTTTTTTGGGGGGGGGGTAGGGTAGTTGGGCGCTGTAAGAAGATATTCTGAAGTCAATAGTAATTACTTTTTACTATACAAAATGCCTAAAGAAAAAGTATTGGAATTTTTTGATGAAAAGAGGAGTCCGGACCCCGAGGACCCGCCCCTTGAGAGTGTGAGGTGTTGGGTCTTGTAGTGCGAATTTTAAGACTTAGTTTGATTTTTTGTTTAATGTCCTAACCTAGGGGTATCAACTGTCTGGAGTGATAGACGGCGTAACACACTCCGCGGCCATTTGTTCTATAACATATCTGCTTCCAACTCATGGGAAACTGTATCCACTCTGAAAGTTCCATAACTACATAAACGGCGCGGCGTCCACAAGTGACATAGTAACAACAACGCTTCACACAAAACTGTACCAGACTCATATCCCCCTCGACCAGTTAGGAGCGGTTAACAGTAAAATGAGCTTGCAACAAGTCCCCGGCACAATATGTATACTCCGGTACCAGACAGTCACTTGTATGTTATAAACCCCAGCAAAGTATTATCTCCCGAAAGTTATATTTACTTTGACATCGTGGTATTATAATCTTGACGAATAACCATAATATATCTCCCTAAGTATTTAATAAAAGCCTTCTATTTACATGGACTCAGCTCGAACATCTCTTTTGTGTGGAGTGATGAACGTGGTGTATACATGACTCCAGCCAACCCATTGTTGCTAAAATCCCTGCCGGGGAATAATGTAAAGGACTGCCGTGTTGGCTCAGTCTTCTCAGGGGTGTGAAGTAGAAGTATACTGGTCGTAAAAAGAGACGGAATTGCAGGAGCACAGAGCCTTCAGGGAGAGGAGTTAGCCTGTGAAGCAGTGTTAAGGGATACATTATGGCAGGTCTCGACTTTTATGTTCTCTGTTATGAGCATCAGGAGGTTTAGTACTGTCAGGAAGTTGTCTGCGTGTGTGTCATCTGTTGCTCTGGTCAGTTTATAAAGACATTTATAGGTTATGGTAGATCTGGTCTGTGTTTTAGTAAGAGTATAAGTGTTATTGGTTGTCCGTGTGTGTGTGTGTGTGTGTGTGTGTGTGTGTGTAATAATAATAATAATAATAATAATAATAATAATAATAATAATAATAATAATAATAATAATAATAATAATAATAATAATAATAATAATAATAATAATAATAATAATAATAATAATAATAATAATAATAATAATAATAATAAACGGTTTATTAATAGAGTTGCAGCCGGTGGCTGAAAATATACAAACTTAAATTTGATTTAGACATAATGATATACGTTCAATACATTTACAGGACTGTACACTACATAAATCAGGAGTTGTTTATTATTTTAACAATAGATAGGAGGGTGCTATTCTTATATCTATCAGTGCGGGCTCTTATGGGCTGAATTTTGTTGTAGTGGCGGACTGCGCGAGGTGGGCGGGGGACTGCAGGTGGCAGTAGGTGGCGATGACGAGGATGGTGCAATAGTCCACTGCCAAACCCTTCTAGTACGTGGTGGTGGAGGTCACTGATGGATAGCATTTCCAGGGTGGAGAGAGCGGTGTTGTAGCCGGAGTAGTCTGCGCCAAGCATGATTATGCAGGCCCTCTTCTGTACCTTCTCTAGCTGACGTTGATGGGTAGAGTTGAGAGAAGACGACTAGGCTGGTGATGCATACGTTAATTTGGAGAGAATAAAGGCGTTTTAGATAGTCCTCAGCTCTGGTGTGGATGCCCCAAGTGACCTGAGTCGTCGAAGCATGTAGAGTCGGTACGAGGCTGCCTTGGTTGTGTTGTTTACATGCGCCTTCCATGTTTTGTAAACAAGGAGGTCACACACGATGTATTAATAGTAATCTCACCCTCACTTTATGCTAACAAACCAAAGCAACACACACACACACACACACACACACACACACACACACACACACACACACACACACACACACACAAACAGCTCATTACACTGACTCGTAGAACCGTACAGGGACGGGGTAATGAAATTCAAACAAATATTACCTCATAGAAAGAATTAAAATAAGGTATTCCTATTTCGCCAAAACGTCACTTGTGTTTTAAGACTTAGTTGGACTATATAATTATACAGTATATATCCCTATTTACCCTGACACACAACGTCCCGCTTCCCCCAGCCTCCCCCATCCTCCTTCCTCCCCCATCCTCCTGCCTCCCCCATCCTCCTGCCTCCCCATCCTCCTGCCTCCCCCCATCCTCCTGCCTCCCCCATCCTCCTGCCTCCCCCCATCCTCCCCTGCCTCCCCCCATCCTCCTGCCTCCCCCATCCTCCTACCCCCCATCCTCCTCCCCCATCCTCCTGCCTCCCCCATCCTCCTGCCTCCCCCAACCTGCTGCCTCCCCATCCTCCTGCCTCCCCCATCCTCCTGCCTCCCATCCTCCTGCCTCCCCATCCTCCTGCCTCCCCATCCTCCTGCCTCCCCATCCTCCTGCCTCCCCCATCCTCCTGCCTCCCCCATCCTCCTGCCTCCCCATCCTCCTGCCTCCCATCCTCCTCCTCCCCATCCTCCTACCTCCCCCATCCTCCTGCCTCCCCCAACCTGCTGTTTCCACTAGTTTTTTTTCCATCATCCGTATTGTTGTTGTCCCTCATTTCATCCTCTACGCTGATTGGGTTATTTTCCTCGGTGTAAAGTCATTATAATTTTCCATCGTTATTAATTATATTCGTGAGAGAGTTGACGCGTTAGTTAAGTAAGTTCTGGTAGTGTCGTGGCTGTCTATGTCGTGTTGGATTTCCGTCTTGTTGTTCGTCAGATTGGTTTTACAATTAACGACTCTGTGGCCAATTTACTTCACCGAATATCGACAGGTAGTATTATTATGTTAACTAAATGCTGAATGTAATTTATGTTCAGCACAAGTGTAAAGAACTAAAATAGTCTGGTGCATGTCAAGTAAGCTTTTCATCCGATTAATAAATGGCGAGTTAGCATGATCCAATTATTTCAACAAGGCGATTGGAGCGTTCGAATACATGTGTTCGACTTCACACACACACACACACACACACACACACACACACACACACCGATAATTCTAGTTACTTGAGTACACTTTAACCTCCTGAGAGAGACGAGGTACTTAACTCATCCCTCTATCACTCCAGGCTTAAGACACCTTCTCCCCTATTACCTAGAGTTAACTATACCCGTCTTGGCTGATCACCTGGTTAACCTTGACGTATCTTGATTACAGTACTGATCACACCTGAAAGTGTCCACCTCACCTAAACGGAGACATTGTTTATTGATGAGGGTTCTTTGGTCTGTCCTTCCTCGCCTCGGTAGTATTAGTGGGAGGATGAGGACTGATATTATTCACCATGTTGCCGTCGACCTCTCTCTCTCTCTCTCTCTCTCTCTCTCTCTCTCTCTCTCTCTCTCTCTCTCTCTCTCCCACCCCTACTCCTCCCTCATCCCTTGCTCCTTCACTCTCCTCCACCTTTCCCCCTCACCAACTCCCCGTTTTTCCTTCTCACCCTCTTTCTGGCCTCCCATTTCCTTTGCCCTCAGTCGTCGCCTCTCCACTCCCACTCATTCTCTCCCTCTCCACCACTCTCATAACATTCCTCTCTCCTCCCACTCCACCCTGCTGGTCTCAATTGACTCACCTGCATCACCCACCCTACGCTCTCCTCTTTTATTTCCTCTCTACCTCTCCCCTTCTTCCTTCTTTACCCGTTATTAACATTCTCTCCCTTCCTCCCCTTCGCTAAGAGCTTAAACTTTACATTTTCTTCTCATTTTGCTGACGGACTCGACCTTCGTGAATAATCGTTGCATTAACCTTTTTTTTTGGTGGGGGATGGAGGGTGGGGGGAGATCTTCCTCTCTCCCTATTGTAGAAGACTAAAACTCGACCTATCTGATCAATAGCTAAAGTAACTTCTCAATTTTTCTCCTCCCTGTATTGTCTCGACTTAGTTTGTGTGTAATAATTAAGCTAAGCATTATTTTTCTTCCTCACCATTCGGGTTTTGCAAAACAAGCAGCAGAGCAGTGATAAAAACATCTTCTTTTTCTTCTCCCTTTTCTGGAAATTCGACCTGCGGGAATAAACACAAAATATATATTATTTATCTTTGTCTTGGAAGGTAACATTAGCCTGACCAGGATGTGGAATAAACAAGCCAATTATTTCTACTCCTCTTCCCCCAGACTGGACCTGCGAGAGAACGAAGGGAGGGAGGAGATAGTTGACCCCACCCTAAGAGAGCGCCTCAGGTCAGACCCAGGTGGCACAAGGCTGACCCTGGACCCTGCGCGGGGACCTGACACAGGCACCTACAAGTGCAGGGTCGACTTTAACGACTCTCCGACTATGTCAGCCATCGTCACCCTCACCGTCTACGGTAGGTGTGTGCGTGAGTGCGTGCGTGTGTCGTTCTTGCCTTAGTAGTTTGTTGATAGATAAGTTGTAGCCGCCGGGTAAACAGGTACCCCTCCCCCCCTTCCTGCAGGAGTTCTGGAGTGTCAAGAACAAACAGAGAGAATAGACACAAAGGAGAACGAGGAGAACACATGTGAGTGAAGCACAGAAAGTAATGTGGAAGTGTGAGTAAAGTGGAGAAAGGTGTGTGTGTGTGTAAGTAAGGACAGGACATGACTCAATATGCTGGATGGTGAGAGAGAGAGAGAAAGAGAGAGTCGGTGTTTCCCTCCAGATTGCATCTCTTGTGAGAATTGATAACGACAGTAACACAAAGGTGGTGCGTGCAGGGAGGTGGGTGGTTCCTGGAGACAGCACTGGTGTTACGTATACAAAGAATTATGCCTTTTATAATTATCCAAGCCCTGAACCTGAAACATTTACGAGTACAACCACGGCTTCGGCCACATGAGATAAGATAAATATATATTCCTTCTTTAGTCTTGATGTTAGTGAGGCATTTAAGTTTTTCATCGCCATGGCAGAGGGAATGTGGCAAATCTGCTTCAATGAAAAATATATAATGTCACAGAAAAACACAGGGAACGGACATTGTTGGTTAGTAACTATTTTATTGCTTTGACTTTAACCATGAACATTCCAGTTCTCGTGATTCTTCCTGTAGAGCTGAAAAGAATTCATAAACAAGAAATAAACAGACAAACACAGAACACTGTTTATCCTGTGTTGTTGCGGCGGATGATGATAACTTGTCACTGTTTCCCAGACTGTTTGGTTGTGCTTACTCAGGTGTTGACAGGTGAGGGTAAAGTAGTACACACACACAGAGGAATCAGAGTTGCTTTTATGACAAGTTATGGGAAGATATATCTGGTATATGAAGGGTCCGCAGGGTGATAGTGAGATAAATATTAATCCTGGTAACGTTGTGGACATCCATAAAGGTTTGTAAATAAAAAGTGGGAAGGGTTGGTGTTGAATATGTCCTATTTTGAAAGAGACCTGACCTCGTGATTGAGGATGGCTCTACAAGGAGTTTGGGAGACCTAAGTGAGTGTAGAAGTTGATAGGCCCCTTCGTGTAGGTTATATTACTTGATGGTCTCAGTATCACGCAACGATTATGTTATAGGGTGGAAGTATATAATCGCTTTTGTGAGAACTAAAACTGTGCAGGTGAATGAAGACGAGGAAGAGGATGTCCTTTAAATACCAGTTAATGTTTTATTGGTTTATTTACCAGGACTTGATATTTTCGCAAGAGTAGTGTGAGATCAGTTAGAGATTACCAATACTTCAATAGACTTGCATATGGAGGAGCAGTACGAGTTTATGGCTTTGGGAAAACCTCAAAATCAGTGATGTAATTTATTTCTATCCTTAAGATGGCGTTACCATAGTCCTCAAGCTTTTGTCTTCTCTATGGATGTCTCAAGATGCACTACCTCCCCTACAGTTACAGTCAAAATTACAAAATCACTTTCAGGTGTTTAATATGCCACGATATTTACTTGTACCTAATTTATCCTTAGTCCATCTGAGTGCAGTAAATAAGGATAACAGAATGAGAGAAAAAAAAATGGTGGGATACTTGCCCTGAAAAAAAAAATGGAATTAGTATAAGGTTAGTTGGAACACGAGACAAGACTATCAAGATGCCGCTGTGTGTGTAAGGGAGTCTGTGGGCGGGAGGCAATTATAATCATACTCTAATTAGAAGCAGAAACCTTGTAACACAGGAATTTACTTTTTAATTACAGTTGAGCTTCTCCAGGTAACCGTGGCCTGTTGCTCTACCACCTAAGATATAACCTAAGATATAACTTATTCCTGGTAGGCGATATTTTAATACCAGGTTAGCGCTGTGGTCTTTATCACTTGGGAAGTTTTTGACTCATCCTAAAACACACTTATAAGCACTGTTAATATATCTCTTGTGACACTGTTACGACTGTGGTTGTGACTCTGTATACAGCAGTTGTAACACTAAGACTGAGGTTGTGATAAGAGCAAATAGGAAGATACCGTGGGTTATATAGGGAACAATGTGTCATGGGTAGTTGAGAGGGCGTGGGGGGGAACGGGATGGAGAAGATGAACCCTGGCAGGACAGATCAGGCAAAGGGAAGGGGGGGATATGTAAGGTCGTAAACGCTGACCATCAAGAGTGTAGCTGTGAATCATCAATCAGCAATCACAGGTTATGATTGCTGATACGTGTTTGAGTACAGTTTTCAAACACATAAAGAGAATTTACCTTATTGGTATTCATGGTACGAACAGAAAAGGATAAAACTAAGCTTGGGAAAATAAAATACTCAAGGTGACTGGGCCCCCTACGCCATGGGGTACTTGGCGTAAACCTTAACCAGGCTTTGGTTGAGACACTGTGTTAAGCTTCGTCCAAATGAAGGTTTAATTGTCCTCACTAATTGAAGAATGTCGTTATACTCGGCGCTTCGTTGTCTTAAAAGAACATATATCTTAATTTATATTTGTTAAGCCTTATTACTTCTCATCTCATTACTTCGAAGTATTATATTCTTAGCTCCATTGTCAGTAAACATTATATTCTTCATATCATAAACCCCTGATCATCGTCTTATTGGTCTCAGGTAATGGACTCTGTCTCATCATCGTCAGTCCTCATAATGCTCATTTTACAACATCATACTCTTCGTCATGGACAAGTCATACTCTTCGTCATGGACAAGTCATACTCTTCGATGTAGTAACTTAACAATAACTGGTGCTTAGATGTTGTGGCTGTTATGGTACCGGTGCCTGAGGTGTTCAAGCAGTGATCCCTCGGAGCTTATTGACTCTGCATGACACGGTACGGTACAAGACGAGGCTTCATGGTGATGTGTCTTTTCTGACGAAGCTCACTGACGCGGCACGGCACGGCACCCTAGTTTGGATGTGTGTTAAGCATCTTTAGGTTAATGGGATGGTATGACAATAGCGTGTTCAGGTACATAACGGTACAGCATAATATAGAACGAAATGGTACACTGCGGTCCAGAACAACAGGGATTCTCGGCTTGGAATACTCGACTCTGACGGAGCTAACGTGACATGATAGGGCACGACACAGAACCCTTCACTGGAGCGCTACAACTCTCATCACCTACAAGTACGAGTATTAGTGATTCCCGGTACGGCTCCACACGACGCTGTACGGAACTGTACGGAGCCCCGATACTAAAGTCACTGCGTTAACCTGAACCCACCATGACAGGGGCTCCCACGCATCGTCAATTATGGACAGAAAGATCCCGGATTATCTTCCTGCCCTCCCACCTGTTGGCTGCATCAGGTTACTCAGCGTGCGTGCTGACAAAAAGGAGGAAACACATTAAGGAGTCGAAAGGAGATCCTTGTAGTGTGTTGTGGCGGCCACTGAGACTGACGAGTGAGTGGGCGTGTGGAAGAGGCTGAAGGAACAGATATGTGGTAGAAAGGATTTAGTCGTCGTACAGACATATGGGACACATAAAGGTGAACAGAAAAAAAAAGCTGGATCAAACAACACGTATTATGTTTATCAAAGTATCATCACAGCTCTTCCGTAAGACTGTCAGCCGAGCCTAGAATGTAGTACGTGTTCTCTCTTTTTGTCATTCTATGAATTAATATCAAAATATCAACATAAACCATTAGAACAGCCAACTACCATCCTCTTCCCTTTTCAACACAAACACAACTCCCGCGGGCAACATCAGGGGCCGCGTTTAATTCTTGAAAATGAAAGAGAAAACATGAATTAAAAAGTTCTCTGAAGTTATGATATCGAAATATGAGTCCGTCCGCCTATGACTCACTCACACAGCACCAACACACACTAGTAGTAGCGAACACTCACACAGCACCAACACAGTAGTAGTAACGAACGCTTACACAGACCAATACACAGCAATAGTAACGAACGCTTACACTGCACCAGCACACAGCCTTGCAGTGATAGTGACTGACCTCATGCACCATACCAACACAACACAGCACCAGTCAGACTTGAAGCTGTGTACACTGTAGGAGTCGTCCTGACAGATCTCGTGTGGTACAGTAGTGAGACTCCAGGTACTAATAAAACACTCGAAGAATGACATTGTGAGATAAAACAGAAGTGACACAGGACCAAAGATGGTGAAGAAATGAGAAAACTCAAGAAAAACAGAAAACTTTACTTACTTCATACATAAAGAAGGACAGTGTGGGGACAGAAGGGACTCATGTGGGCTGAGGGACGGATGAGGTACAGCAAGACCGTCTCTTAATGAAAACAATATTTAGCTAAAGTCAGCAGCTCCAGGAATACCTTTCATGACTCACTCAGACTCTTTGTTGTCTGCCCGGCACTCTCTCATACGGCGCTGCCAGGCTTAGTTAACCTATTCTTGGTAACCCATCTTGAGTTATGATCTTTTGTCACTATTTTCTTCACGTAAATTATGTTCCCAAGATGCTTTCCTCAGAGGAGAAAATTATTACAGATTATTAATAAAAACACAAGTGAAGAGAGTGTTTGATGCCATTAACTGTTGTGACTTACAACAAACTATTACTTGTGAAGGTGTGATCACTGTGCCAGAAATCAATTCGTCGAGTGATGGAAACTTACACAGTTAATGTCCCCTACAACGCGTCCACCAATCACACCTCAGCTGATGTTCCCAGCATTGCTTACGTCACCTTACCTGCAGCTTAGCTTAGCTTAAATAGCCACATGTGAATCTTCAGTCTCTATTCTGAGCGCCCAAACGTCTCGGTCATAATACTGTAAACATTGACCTTTGTGTGGTCATAACACAGACCATACCAAATGTTGTTAAAAGAAGAGTGTCATCAGAACGTCGGTAGTCAGTTCCAAGAGCAAGGCAGGGTTAGAAATGTACTGTACGTGAGTTTGTCATCCGTCGCTTGGTGTTGTCCACATGCCTTACCAAGTTTGTCATAAATACAG